TTAGCCTTGTTTACACAACAGTAATTTGCGTAGAACTTTTCTGAAAAAAATATATGTAGTCTACAATGCAATTTGAGATTAAAAAACTATATAAAGCCATATAGCAATTTTTGGAAATCTGCTTTTTTCCTGCCTTAGTTGACCTGAGTAGACATATAGTCAACTCTGCTAAAATAATCACTAACTCAGTTATATCTTGTTGTTTTTCTAAACTCTTTAATACATATAGGCTATAGCCAGACTCATGGAATTTAAGTGGTGAAGGAATGAATTTAAAAATAACTTTCCTCTGCCTCCCAAAGGAAAGGGCCTCAGTATCATCATTGATTGGTTGATTCATTCATTTTACATTTTTTTGGGTGCTCAGTATGTGTGAGGTGATGTTTTCTTCTCTGTGGTTACAACTGGAAACAAAACAGACATGGTCTGCACTCATGAATTTACAATTGGTGTGTGGGAGAGAATTTTTTTTTAATATAGCTTTCAGGTACTATAAAGACTAAAAAATAATTAAACAGTATTAGAAAATTGGGGGATTAGTGTGTTCGGGTCCAGGGCTATTATTTCAGGTAGAGTGGTCACAGAATTTTCTTTGAGCAGAGAACTAAAAACAAAGTGAGGAAGCAAGTCATAGGGATGTCTGCGGGAGGAATATTCCAGACAGAGGTAACAACAAGTGCAAAGGCCCTGGGGAAGTTCTTGGCATGTTTGGAGAGCAACATGGAGGCATTTTACAGTGAGTGAGGAAGAGAGTGATAGCAGTGAGCCCCCCAGGGAAGCGAGGGGCCAGGTCGATGGGGAATGAATGACCTCAAACTCTGTTCATCTGAATGAAATGGAAAGCCATGAGGGTTATGAGCAGAGCGCTGTCATACCTAATTTAAGTTTTGAAAGAGTTACTCTGACTACTGTGTGGAAAGGTGACTATCACCAAGATGGAAGCCAAGGGAGCAGTTTCCAGACAACAACAACAATCCAGGTTGGGGGCAGGGGTAGGGGGTGGTGGAGGGGCTGCTTTTAACTAAGGTGAGATGTGAAAGGTGGTGAGATTTACAATGTGTTTTAAAAGCACAGCCAGAGGATCTGTTAATGGATTGGTTGTCAGAGATGAGACAATGAAAGGTGTCAAGAACAGCTCCAGGAATTTTGAGCTAAGCAATGGGGGGAACGGAATTGTTTATTGAGATAGGGCGGGCTGCCTGGGTGAGTAGCAGGTTTGGCAAGTGACCAAAGAGCTCAGTTTTGAACATGTTAAAGTTGATGCTAAATGTCCAAGTGGAGACATGAAGAAGGCCGTTGAGTATATTAGTCTGACTGAAGTCTCTCTAACTGGGGAGTTGGTCCTGGCTGGAAATAACTACTTCGGAAGGTTAGCACATAGGTGGTTTATAAAGTCATGAGACTGAGTAAAAACCCTGATTCTGCAGTGAACCTAAATAGCAATGCAGTCCAAGGACTAAGCCCTGAGACATTTGAGGACATGGGACAAAAAGCAAAAGAGAGGGAAAAGCAATGGTGGGTGCGGGAGGAGAACCCATAGAGAGACTGGTGGCCCAGAAGCCCCCTGTGCAGGAAGGGTTGCCAGGCAGCCCTGAAGGCCCCACTGAGGTTTATGGTCATGAGCTTAAAATAAGACCTGTTTCAATATGGTTGGAGAAAAGCTGCAGCTACATTTGGCTGCCAGGTTGTAGGCATGGAGAGGT